GTACTGCTAGAGGCCATGCCGGATCTGTGTTCACTTTCCGATCTGGCAGCACGGTTGGCTGGTGTGGAGCGGTGGCTTGTGAATGGACTGCAACATGGGGTTGAACTGGATGAGGTGTGATCGCTGGTGGTACTGCCACGGGCTGTGAATGAGTATTCTCAGCGGAGCATGTTCCACTATCTTGCAGGCAAGTTGGCTTTGGAAGCCACAACTACATGCCCGTCAACTGGAGCCGGTGCCGCTTCTTCTCGAGTGCTGAAGGTGTTCGCATGGCAAGTTCCTCGTGGGCCAAGGCTCAAAAATGGAGCAGGCCCAGGATAATGCTCTCGTTCATGTCTGGGTGGAGGCTCTGCAAGCCGTGATGACTGTGGCTGAGGTGTTGGAGGAGTAGGCAGTAAGTCTGCTGCAATCGGCACTCTTCCAAAGTGTGTTGCATTTGTGTTCCCGGCTGGCTGTGAAAGCTGTGGTGCACTTTCTGTTCTGCCCGGGAAGCGTGGCTTTCGCCGCCTGTCTATTTGTGGCGGGTTAATCTTGTCTGAAACTCGGTTCACTGGAGCATCTGATGCCCGATGCATTTGTGGATCTCGGTGTACCTCTGGTGCTTTCCTGGGCTTATCTTCATAGCACCTGGCTATCAGCCGGCTCCATTTGAGTGTTCTCTCATTTGGGCTCGCCCACTGCTCTGTCACGGTGTCACCAGTGACATGCTGAAGGCAAACTGGGCTCTGGGAGAAACGTGACTGTTCTTCCGTCCAGACGGTGCCTTCCGCCTCCACTCTTCTCTGCTCGACTCGCATCCCCTGTCTTCGCTCGGAGGAATCTGGTGCGTCTCTGGCAGTCCCGTTCTGGGCTTCTTGAAGCCGTGGCACTGTCTGTGTTCGGTGTGGGCACCTCGGTCGTAGAGAGTCAACTGGTTCCTCACATGACCCGACAGGCGCCAGTGCTACGTGCACATCTACCGCATCAATGGGTAGCTCTGCCTCTGGGGCAACTTCTATACAAATTTGTGAGGGGCAACTCTCGTCGTCGGCCTTGTGAGACAAGGGTGCAACCGAGAGAGTGATGTCTGGCAGGTACATTGGTTCGCGTGAGTGACAGGGTGGTAGAGGGGGTGGGGGTGCGTCTAGAAACTGAGTGTTGGTGCGGAGGTTGAGGGAAGCTGGTGGTATGGGCGGTGGCAGCGGCGGTGGCAAGGGTGCCACTCCACGCGTGCGGCTGAATTTGCAAAACAAATACAGCATCAGCAGCAAGATCGCAGGTATGCCAAGCCCTATCGCCACAAAACATGTTGTCAAATCTGGAGTTGCTGGGGTAAGAGGAAACAGACCATCAATTGAAGCATTGAAATCAGCTGAAGTCGTTGAAGAAGTGCTCGTTGAGCTGGTGCTCGTTGAAGAAGTACTTGTGTGTGTAGATGAGCTGGATACCGTCATTGTGGAAGCTTGAAACCTCCATAGGTCCTGCAGCAGGCCACCCCCATACCCTCCATGAATCACGAAGGACAGGCTCGCAACATCCCAAGCAGCCACGTGATTATAGCGGGGTGAAGGACCTCCATCTGCTATGAGTTCCCATGTGTTTCCTAAGGTGCTGAATCTCCAGAGGTCTTGAAGAGCAACACCGTCAAATCCACCATGAATCCAAAGAGCAAGGTTCATAGGATCCCAACCAGCAGCATGGTATGCTCTCGCAGAAGGACCATCGCTTGAGACCCAAGTCCAGTGGTAAGTGTTCATGTCAAATTTCCAGAGATCTTGGCACAAGCCTCATTGCTTGGCATTGCTGAGGGATCGGCCACACGATTATACACGTCACAAGCGAATGATTCAAAATAACAGCCAAGCAATCAAGGAAACCCAACTAATCTGATTGTTATGCCACCGGAATAACTATTGGAACAACGTGATGCATGAAATGGTCTCCTTCGATTCTGAGTTCCCAGTGGCATTATTCTCTCTATTGACGCACGATGCGGGTTGAAATCTACGGGGGGACCATCATTGTACGTTAAATGATGTTCGCTGTCCATCCTTGATGTGTTCCTTGTTTTAGAATTTTGATGATGGCTGCGTTTGCGCCTCTACTAAATGCGGGTTGCTCGCACTTGCACCTTAGAGTTTGCGACTTTTTGTCCTTTTTGTGTTTACCGTAAGTGTCTTCTTCTTCTTGGTCCTGGGTCCTCAGATATTATGCCCATAGTCCCGACCGTTCTTATCTTATCTTCTTGTTTCTTGTCTCGTTTACTTGCCTGTATGCTGACCCTTCTTCTCCTTCTTCTTGTTACGGATCTGTTTCTCCTATTAATATATATATATACTTTTTTCTGTATATATATAAATATATATAACATATACATATATGACTCTGCTGCCTTCACACTTCTTTTTCCAGGCAGCGTTTCTGGCGAGGTAGAAAAGTTTTAACTGCTCGGCATCAAAGGTGACTTTCACCTGCTGTATGGAGATGCCTTCAAAAGCTTTCCCCTTTATCCGCTAGCGTTCTGTCTATTGATCTGCTCAATGACCCCTCTTGCAACTGTCTCACAAAGCTTGAATGGATATGGTTGAGCAATCAATGTAAGGAAGATTCCATCTTCATTTGTACCTTTCAAAGCAACGTGGCGTTTGCCTGTATATATAGCTGCAACGGGTGGAGCTGCCTTGACAAACACGACCAACTGAGTGAAGGTCCACAAAACAAGAGAAAAGTTGCATAGGCTTTCGCCACGATTCTCCGTATTGGCAGAAGTCTAGTTCAGTAGTGTTGAAATCACCTGACTTTAGAAGCTTCTCCAAAATGGGCGTGGTCCAACATCTTGAGGTCAAAGGGTTTTCAATGCAAAAAGCAACACCTCTCACGCAACAAGCCCAAACGACACGCATTGTAAAAAGGAAGAGTGAATTGCCTGTCAACAACTTTGCTCGATCGCGGCCCTTCAACCATGGGAGCCCCATGGGGTATGCGGCTGACCTCAATGGTCCTGGCCCGCCCATCATCTCTCCTTGCTGCTGAAAAAGTTGCGCAAGGCATTCCCAACCAAACAAAAACAACTTGTCCGTCAAGAATCTTCTGTACAATCAACTTTTCAACTTCCGGGTCAAGCACATCGTCTTGGGGGTTGTTCGAAACATCAATCTCGAAACAAACCATTCCAGCCATTCCGAAAGCCCGACTGAGCCGCCCGAATTCAAAGAAAATCTCGAGGCAACAAACTCCTTGGTAGGTCCGCCAGCTCAAGCCGTCAGGGGGCTTTGAGCCCCCCTGATGACTGCCGGCATCTTCTCTATCGACTTCTTCCCATAGTGAAGCGCCCAAGATGGCGTCTTGTTCAACATTGCTTGCACCTTGCCCTTTGCATAGCGCCTCAGTGATGTGTCTCCGAAGCTCCTCCGTGTCGAAGCTGATACAAGTGCAGATTTGGCAAGCCAATCCAGCATCCTGCTTCTTGAAAGAGCTTTGCAGCATCGAACTGAAAGAGCTTTTCTTGTGCCTTTCTTCTCTTGCTCATCTGATGTAGGGCAGGCCTCAACCAGTTCCGCGTCTCTGGGTTGTCCAACTTCACTGTCGCTGAACACCCCAGTCTTGTCTGGAACCAGATCGCCCTCGTCCCTGATCACCAGCGCAAACTCTTTACTGACTGCCGGCTCCTGTTACCGGCTTCACGAAAGCAAAGAGCACGGCGAGAGCCATCTCCTTCTCCTCCTTGAACAGCAGCCTCATAGCTGTTGCCCGACAGGCTTTGGAAGAGGGAGCCTCGACTTCGGTGGCTTCAACTTCCTCCACCCTCTGAGGGCCTTCCGGCTTCTGATCAATCTCTCAAAGTAGAACTCGATGCTTGCAAGTGTCTTCTCCCCTTCGGCTGCCGTCCTGTTTTCCAAAAACAACGTCGAAGTAATCGGCCAGGACAGCGTCTATTTGGTCCTTTTTGGAAATCTTGAACTTGTTCTCCTTGCAAAAGTCCTTGAAGTTCCGGTAGTGTAGCGTTCGTACTGCGACTCTTGCACGCAGCTGATGCTGTGAGTCTCCAGCAGAGTCATCCCACCGCTTTGTGCTCTCTTCCCCTCTTTGCCGCTGATCTTGATCTTCCCAACTAACACCTTCTTCTCCTCCGGCTTCCGAGACGATCTCCTGGTCGCTATCTTCATGGGCGTTACCATCTTCTCGACTGGCTGAGGCCCTCTCAACGTCCGACTGCTGGAGCTTGTGTTGGAACGCTTTCGGCCTTGTTCGAAGGTTCGAACCTCTTGACGGTCCATCCGAAACATTCCACTCCGAGGGGATCCACCTGACCCTCAGATCAATGTTGCAGGCCAATAGCAGGGCACCTATCTTCTGATTCAATCTCAACATCCCATGGTTGCAAGAGCGCCCCTTACCCATGCCAAATGCAAGAGCCAAGTTGTCCACAAGAACGAGAAGTCTCTTCCCACGATGTTCCGAACTACGGCTCAGCCTCCTAACTGCCAGAGTCAAGCAGCGTCCCTCTTTCAATGTGATGTGTTCATTTTTGAACTTCCATTGCCAAGCTAAAACCACCTTCCAATCGAAGGGATCCAACACTGGGACCTCCTCAAACTCCTCGTTCCTAACGTACTCATCAGAACACTCATGCGCCGACGGGTCAAGTCGAGCGGTTCTAGGGTAGTCTTTGAAAGGGTCTAGTCCCAAGGCTCTTTCACGTGGTTTCCAATCCTTCAAAACTGAAGGCTTAAACCTCCAACGCTCGCGCCATTGTCCAGCTGTTCTGATTGTCTCAACGCCCATTGTCCGCTCACAAATCCCAAAACTACTAGGTGAAGCGTCTGTGCATGTCACTGTACTGCTCCATCGGGTGCGCATATCAGAAACTAAGAGAGGGAGGACTCCGGAAAAAACCTTGCGCTCTCGAACTGCCCCTTCCCAAAGCATCTTTCGCTTGAACTCCCGACCTGCAAAATCGTAGAGGCTCTGGAAGAAGCTGATACCTGCCCGGTTCAGGACAAGCACCACCATCGCATGGCCCAACAATCTCTATACCAAATCTGAATATGGGGTGTTTGCATGCATAGTCAAAAGCAAGCCTGAGATTCCAAAAACGATGCTCTGTAGGCTTAACAACTCCTGTTTTTCCGTCCCCATTGCTTGCTTGTGCGCAAAATTTCAGAGCTCCCCAAATGACAACTGCCGTCAGCAAAGCTCCTTGGCAGGATTTTGAACCCCTCTCTGGACGCCCCCTCCTGCAAGGACGTCTGGGTGTCCCCTCACTTCTTTGCCCCCCCTCCTTCTGCCTTCGGGTGGGTGAGTCTGTTTTGCCCTTTGCCTTGCCAGATCCCTTAGCTTCTCGCATCTTGCGTTTCTCCTTGAGGACCTGGCTCTCCTCATGCATCCTCTTGGCCACGTGCTCGGTGAGGCTGGGGATAACAAGTCCTCCTCCCGGCCTGTATCGAACACCCATGAAATAATTTGAGCCTTCGAAGCTAGGCTGACCAGGGTTACCCACATGAGCTTCACACAGCAATTGTTTTCTTCGAACGATCATCTCAAATGCCAGGCTGTTGCAAACATTGAGCCCGTCGAATTTGACTGCTGCGTCTAATACCTTGCTCGGCACTTCGTCTTCAAAGACAGCTCTGTCCCCTTCGGGGATGCGGACGTTCTGCAGCGCTGCCCGTAACAACTCTTTGAGATCTCTGCCACTGCTCGAAGGTATTCAAGGCAAGTCCTGGGCGCCAAAGGGAAGTGTTCCATCTCAACCTGCCTCATCTCGTGTATTGATTCGCGAAACTTTCGACACCTCTCACCATTTGGCCCGTACTTGATGGAGAGCGTACGCACATCGTCACTGACCAAGGGGTCGTCACCCAGCTTGGCCTCCATGGACCTGGCGGCCTGAATGATCTGTTCGCACATAACTCCCCAATGTCTGCACGCTTGCATCTCTCTGAACGAAGTCCTTGCCTTCTTTGCTCAACACGTGGAGGAGGGCATGGTTCCCCTCTTGGGAGTGCCTGCTGGAAGGGTGAGGTCCTCCCCAACTGTGTGTCCATCAACATGTTCAACTAGAATCCATACTTCAACATCTTCACCATCATCCACAACGCCAGCGGCCGGACCTGCTCCCACCCCAGTGGCAGGGGCAACTGCGCCCACTGCAATTTTGTGGGGAGAGGGTGGCCCAAGTCCTCAACTCAGCTTCTCCGCCTCTGCAGCTCGTTGTCCCTGAGACATGATCCTGGCATAGTCCTGCGCAACCATAGGTTGAACTGCATACACGGAACCTCTAGGCACTCCTCTAGGAATAGCTCCAGTTGAACTGTGTTTCCGGCATTGAGCACCTCCGGGTACAAATCCATATCGGCTCGTCGTTCTCTATCTGGGCAGTGGCCAGACGGGTATGGAAAACTCCAGGATATCCACTGTACTCGACAAAACAAAGGTCTCCTATTCCAATGCTCATTGATCAAGTATCTGAAGTCCGTGTGGAGCTCCGTACCAACCTTTGCCTGACTTTCCTTTGACTGACAGCGTGACCTCGTGCTCACCTCGATCGTTCTGCTTGACGGTGACCCTCAAAACAAGCACCAGGTTCAATGCTACACAAATCAAAATCAGCGCAACTCCCGCAGCCCAGAACCACGATTGGTCTTGCCGGCTCTCTGGCACGCTGCACCCACACTGGCTCTTTCAGACCTTCTCGATTGAGATACCACCCAACCAAAATTCCACCAACACCGACAGCCAGAAGATGCGCTTCCATGAACGCACTACCCTCCAGCTAAAAAGGGGGCTTGAGAACAAGACCACGGCAAATTGCGTTAAAAGTTCACTCGTCAAACATCTGCTTAGCAGGAGGGAATATGTTTGGCCCCGCAAAGAAGCCCAGAAGGGGCAATCCTTGAGCCTTTCTGAAACGTATGGGGCCGGGAACTAGTGGCAGCTACACTGGAGTACTAGATATCTATGTGCCTACACAAGTAAACTTGAGTGTTACGTTGCGTAGGGTTTGGTAGCCAGTGATGCTGATACTACGTTCCATTTGCCTCAAGGGCCGAAATAAACAATATTAGCCACACATGGAGAGCTCCCAAGCCACAAGCCAATTTTATCCATTCTAAGCAAATGGCGACGAATTATTGTTCAAAGTCAGATCGATACCCCTCCCACCCGTGGGCTGAGGTACAATCTTCTTTTTTCAAGCCACTTCCAACAATTGATTTGCTGAACATACCCTTATTCTTTCATTTGTATTTGAAACCTTTCCTTTTGAAACTTTTCATTCACAACGAAAACCGAATCATTGTTTGAGGTTAGGAAAGGATTAATTTAATACCGGGTTAGTGGTTGATTAATTAGGTGAATCCAGCCTCGTGGGCTATCCTTTGTGAGCATGTCATATGTGTTTTTTTCCTGAATGGTTCCTGAACCCTGGACAAATTCTTGAAAGATTGACTGCTCCAGGTACCAGAAGAAAGCACAAAACAACTTGAAATTGTGGGTACTGTAAATAAATCTTATATCTGGATTATCTAGTCAAGTAGGTAATGAATGGGGTGGTTTGTATTTGGCTCGGATTAACGGACTGGTTTGATCATGGCACATAGTTGTTTGCTTTTTCAACTGAAAAAAGGTCATTGTCAGTCTTGTCATTTGTCAATTACTCTTGTTGAGGAGGAATTTGTGGCTCAGTATAACTTTAGGAGCAAGGACAATACTAGGGGCTCCTGGCATCGCTACTAGGAGCAAGGACGCTACTAATCAGGCGGATTCAGGCTGTATCAATTATCCTGTCCTGACAGCAAGCGAGAGGCTTCCATCATACCCAGCATGGATCCAAATTACGCGGGCAATCTCATCGAATGCAGCCACATGATGAGCCCTTGCTGAAGGTGGGTTGGTATCTTGGATACGACTCCAAATGCTGCTTCTGGAGTCAAACTTCCAAATGTCTGACTTCAAAGCACCGTCATATCCACCATGAATCCACAAAGCAGAACTCCATGTATCCCACACAGCCACGTGATTGCTTCGAGCAGGAGCCATGTTGTCCACCAGAACCCAACTGTTGCTGGATAGCTTCCACAAGTCTTCAAGCGAGCTGCTTCCGTTGTTGCCCCCGTGTATCCAAAGGGCTTCTTCATCAGGATCCCAAGCAGCCACATGCTCCTTTCGTGCTGAAGGGGCAGTGCTGAAGAGAGGAAATTGTATCCACACATCCGCTGTAAAATGATACACCCACAGATCTTCAAGGAGAGATTCCCCACTGCCAGCATGAACCCAAAAGCGATCGTGATTCACCCCAGCAGCAGCATGCAGTGAACGAGCAGAAGGGCCACTATCTACTGTCACAAGAGTCCAGCTGGCATTTGCTAAGGCCAGCCAACTACTAAGGCCAAGCCCTATTGATCTGGGATTCAGCATCGGCCGAATTAGCCAACTGTCCCATCATCAGTTTTATTTCGGCTTGAGCAGTGAAACAACTGGGCGAGGTCAAGATAGTCTGAACATGTCTCACCGCAGTCTGATTATGAATAGTTAATAGTCAACAGATCACATTCTGAAGAGAAAAGCTCAAAATCCTTTCAGTACAATTCATGTCTATCAGTTTTTGACTAAGTCTTCTGTTCTCCAATTCTTCGTCCGAAACGAGTTCCTGGCAACAGCATGGAGACCTAGATGACGGTGGAACGCAGTCGAATTTGGTCCAGTCAAGTTTGGATTCTTCAAAGATAACCAACCAAACTGCAGTAATTGATTGAGGCTTTAGAACAAGACATCAGATGGCCTGAACTTGCCAGCCATAGTCCATTTCAGTTAGTCTTGCCGTTCTCTTGCCCGAATGTCCTCTGTGTCCTACCAGTATCTAATTGAACATTCGGACGACCATTCTTCATGCTTTTAGTAAAAGAACTGAATAGAATAGTAACGTAACAGTTCATAGTTGGCATCTTGAAACAATGGTTGACTATTGTTTCTCCTAATTTCTCTCTCAATAAAATTGTGACTGTGCCTTTGTTGCCGCTGCACTGCTGAGTGTACGAGACACTTTCTCCCTTGAGGAATGGTCTCTGGGCACCTAGGATTGCTTTGATCTCTTTGGATCCTCCAGAACAAAGCAGAAAAAAGAGGACTCTATCTTGGAGAGAGTCCTTCTTCCATTGAAAAACTCAAAGCGTGTAGTTGCCTACCCAAGCTGATGTAGCTCACCCATGGGAAATATGTGCCCTCTGTGTGGACACCCGGGTGCACATGGTGGATATCTCGCGGCCACAGCTGATCCTGTCCTGTACTCCATCTCGGGTGCAAGCTGTATGCACCTGTTTCCCTCGCTAACAACCTGTACAGCAATGGCGTGGTCTCCAGTGCAACCAGGAGCTGCCATCAATTGTGAGGTTGGCACTACAGCAAGGGAAAATTCTGGCAGCTGCAGTGGGAGACCAGGTGGTACTGGAGGAGATGCCACATGGTGTGCTGCAGGCACTTGGGCCACTTGGGTGTTTGTGTGATTTGGGGAGGCCAAAGATGCTTGCACTTGGGGCGGCACACCAGGAGGCACCGGCGGCACAGGTCGCTCGGGCAGCACCGAATCTTGGCGACAGAACTTGCAAAAGAAATAAAGCATCAACAGGAGGATCGCAGCAACTGCAAGCACGCCAGCCACAATGGGTGCTGCCAAATCAGCATCTGGGGGAACTATGCTACCATCGTTGGCAGCATTGATCATGGAGGTGGTAGAAATGGTTGCTGTTGTCACAGTGGTTGTTGTCTGTGTGAACGAGCTAGATGTGGTCATTGTAGAAGCTTGAAACCTCCATATGTCCTGTAGCAAGCCACTCCCGTAACCACCATGAATCACAAACGCCAGGCTCGTTGCGTCGAAAGCAGCCACATGATGAAAACGGGGTGAAGGACCTCCATCTGCTATGAGTTCCCATGTGTTGCCTACTGTGCCGAATCTCCAGAGGTCTTGAAGAGCAACACCGTCAAATCCACCATGAATCCAAAGAGCAAGGTTCATAGGATCCCAACCAGCAGCATGGTATGCTCTCGCAGAAGGACCATCGCTTGAGACCCAAGTCCAGTGGTAAGTGTTCATGTCAAACTTCCAGAGATCTTGGCACAAGCCTCGTCGACTGCAGTTTTAACATCAAGAAGCTCAAAAGTCATAGGAAGTCTGTGTCGAAACCATTGTGGAAACGCTCAAAAATTGTCTATGGGCGTCCAAAGACTGTTTGCATGCGGCTTTATCGGGATTCTAGTACCTGACGCTTGAAATTCAAGGGTGTTCTTCTCTTTGCTTCATTCAATTCCTGTCTGCGACTTGTCAAGGTCTTCGTGAAACAGAGATTTGAGATTCGCATCAGGGACATGTGCGGTGGCATCAAAATGCATCAAATAACTTTTACAGCACGCAATACGCTTGGCCCTTCATCTTTGTGTCCCACTTTTTGGCTTGAAGCAACTGGCAGTCGTGGGCGTCTCAGACTCCTGAGGGGACCTGCTGTGTGGTTTGCTGTGCCTTTCCCTTTTCAACTATTGCATGCCATGAGGATGGCTGACGGTTGTTGCGAGGCGACCTTCGTTCACAAGCAGGAACAAAGAAGCCATGACGAATGTGACCTGGGTATTGGACCGGACACCATGAAAAGCATCGGGACACAATGAGGGACACGATGAAAGACATCAACATGAAACCCTTGCAAGCATGACCAGGAGGCTGCTTCAAATAATGCAGGGTCTTGATTTGCAAGTACCTCCCCCAGCAAACGATTGAGCCAGACTCACTGGTATTGTCCTTGCCAAAACAATTGCAGGGAGTCTGTCCTCGTTGGAGTTGTAGTAGTGGTAGGAGTAGGGATTGTAGTACAGTACATAGTTGCTATAGTTGCTACTACTAGTAGTATACAGTAGTAGTAGTAGCAGCAGTAGCAGCAGCACCAGCAGCAGCAGCCGCAGCAGCCGCCGCCGCAGCGGCAGTTGCAGTAGCGGTGGTAGCAGGTGTTCTTCATCTTCAAACCTTGTCAACTACCTTGTCATTATTCCATCCCCCCAAACAACTGACTCATAGATGTATAATATATATATAATATAATTCAATTCCAGGGTACTTGTGGACTATCCGCTTGAAAAACTGTTAGAACAACTTAATTGTTGGGAATATTTGGCAATTTCTGTTGCGAACTGCGAACATGTTAAAACAACCCCCCAGTATCCGACATGATGTCCAGAACACCCAAGCGTGACTCAAGTACCCAACAAATCACGACACATCAAAGTTGAAAGCAACACTCGGAATCTCTGCAGAGTTTTTCGGAATCCCAATCAATCCACTTACTCACTCACAAAAATGGAACTAAACAGTGATGAATGATTTCTGAATGAGCAAACAGGAGGCTTCCATCATACCCAGCATGGATCCAAATTACGCGGGCAATCTCATCGAATGCAGCCACATGATGAGCCCTTGCTGAAGGTGGGTTGGTATCTTGGATACGACTCCAAATGCTGCTTCTGGAGTCAAACTTCCAAATGTCTGACTTCAAAGCACCGTCATATCCACCATGAATCCACAAAGCAGAACTCCATGTATCCCACACAGCCACGTGATTGCTTCGAGCAGGAGCCATGTTGTCCACCAGAACCCAACTGTTGCTGCATAGCTTCCACAAGTCTTCAAGTGAGTTGCTTCCGTTGTTGCCCCCGTGTATCCAAAGGGCTCCTTCATCAGGATCCCAAGCAGCCACATGCTCCTTTCGTGCTGAAGGGGCAGTGCTGAAGAGAGGAAATTGTATCCACACATCCGCTGTAAAATGATACACCCACAGATCTTCAAGGAGAGATTCCCCACTGCCAGCATGAACCCAAAAGCGATCGTGATTCACCCCAGCAGCAGCATGCAGTGAACGAGCAGAAGGGCCACTATTTTGGTTGAAAGAGTCCAAAACCCGAGTCCAGCTGGCATGCGCTGAAGCCAGGCAACCACCAAGGCAAAGCCATCTGGATCTGTGATTCAGCATAGGCTGACTTTTGGCAAAAGTCTTATCATCACTCTTGCTTGAGCAGTGAAACAACTGTCCGTGTCCCATTCAAGGCAAACAATGACTGCCAAAATAGCTTTTCAGGATGGACTGGAGCTGCGACGAATTTGACTGCTGTTACCCGCTGCATCAAATGTGCTACTCCTGACTGCTGCACCTTCAGCAGTAAGAAGCTGGAGGCTCCACCGAGACCTGAAACGATGCAAGACCGCATGCACACCTTGATAGCACTGAAACGTCTGTTGATCGAAAGCACTAGCAATCATTGATTCTGACTAGGGTGCATGGACCAAACAATATGTGCCCTCCTGCCAGCAAAGAACAAAATGAAACATCACTGAACAAGCTGACCTATTAACTTATAAACTATGCCCAAGCTGCCAATGCGATGACGAAACATTGCCATTGCTTCGATGTCTTCGAAACCTCTTCTCGCTTTGCTACTCGTCTGCTACCGTTCGTTGGATCCATCCGCTTGCTCAGGACTCCAGCCTCCAATCCGCTTGGCATACGTCGCTCTCGTGCTTCAACGCACTTCGGACCTTGGAGGGGGTGAGGATAGCTTCTTGTTCCTAGTAGCGATGGCCTCCACCTAATAGCGTCCTTCCGTATAACAAATCTCTAAGACTCTATATAATTATTCTAATGCCATTCTGTGCATAAATGTGTGCGCCAAAAGCTCTGCCAGTGGCCAATCCGAGTGGAGACATGCGTATGATGATGCACGGTATGATTGCTGTCCGCATGCAACATGTTGCCACAAAAACAATAAAATGCTAGCGAATTGAACAAACACTGGTAGCAGGCAGGGAATCATTTCGCATAGAACACCCAATACCATAATCCTCTAAAGTCGACAGCAAGAAAATAATAGAACATATTATTGTATAAATACATTAGTGAAAACGCAACAAAAAAAAATATATTTGTTAAAAAAAAAAAAAAACCGACATACACACCTGCTCATCAGTCTGTCCCTGAAGGCTGTCGGAAGCACCATCGAAGCGTTGACAGAAGTGCAACGCAGTTTATCCTGTGCCTTCGATGCTCGTGAAATGAAAAAAACAAACCACATGACATACAAAGGAAAAACATGGAAACACTGTATCTGTATGTATCTGTAGACTCATTCGCTTCAAATTTGCCATGGATGTTCAACTGTGAAGCTTTACACAGTGTCCTTTTTCAATCTCATTCCTCCGCTCTCTGCACCCTGTTGGCGCTGCACCACACATGGGATTCATCAGTGGTGATGAAACTAAGACCGAGGTCTTCTATCTTATCAATGTCTGCCTCCGAGCTACGACCGAAAGAACCACTGGCGCATTTACACTATAGTCACTGGTCTAGTCACTAGTCTTTTCATGGTTTTTCAAGTAAATGGTGATATAAATGGTTGTGGAAACCATTCAACTCGCTCAACAAACAAAATCAGGTCTGGAGATTGCTTTGAATCTCATTCGAGGCAAAACGCGGCAAAGCTTTGTACTCCTGGCCGCTTTCGAAACTACTGTGCAACGGCACCAAGTCTGGAGAACGATTAAACCGGACTAAATTCTGATGTTCGGGTCCCGCCGCTCTTTGGGGTTTCCAGGCACCCGGCCAGGGATTCGTCCATAAATCCCAGGATGTTCTGGGTCGTAATCACCGGGCCCCGGCGACACATCTTTCCGTGTTGCCTTGACATCCTTGGCATCTTTGGCTTTTGGCTTAGTTGCCTTTGCTTTCTGTTTCCAAGGACTTCCCAGCGTTGAGGTCAGCCCACATGGCCTACACGGCTCGTAGCAACTGCATTCATGGCCGTTTGGTGGTGCTGGCATTGGCACGGGAACTGTGGCTTCGTGCCAGTAATGTGACTGAACAGGCTGGACCTGCTGGATGGTTGACAGCTCTAACACATCAACTGGTGGATGCACTGGCGGTCTTGGGCTCGAGAGGAATGCTACTGTTGAAGGAGTTTCAGATTGAAGGTTGGGACATGGTGGCGTAGGGTGGATGATAACTTGAGGAACTGGCTCTGGATAGTAGAACACCCACTGCAACGGAGTTGGAGATGGTATTGGTAGAACCGGAGTTCTCTGTGTCTCTCTTGGTATCCGGAAAGCCAAGGAGAACGCACTCCCATCAGATCTTGTGGGTTGGATCTGGATTCTGTATCTTCTCAAGGCTGGATAGTGGGCTGGGTACTGCGGACAGTACAAACCCATTGTGTGTCGGGAAGCCGGGGTCTTTGGGACCAAGCAAGGGACTTCCACCATCAAACATAGTATTTGGCTGCCAGGGTGATTGATGGGTTTCTGCGGGTTGGAATCAACTAAACGAAGCGGCGGGCAATTGAGGTTCTGCTTTGATGATCTTGTGGAAGGGCATCGCGGAAGAACTGCAGATTGTGTTGAGAATGGTAGTTGTGGCTGCAAAATTGGCAGTTGCCAAGTCCAGCTTGGTAATGGCGACTTGAGAGGAACCTTTGCACGAGCAGCTTTCAAAGGACCTGGAAGGATCGAGCGGCTCCGTTCGAATGTGGCATCGTGTTTCAACCGTCTCCACTCGAAAGGTGGCGTCAAATCCATCCACTTGGTGGACATCGATGTCTCCTTAAGGCATCGATCTTGAGAGGTTGGACAGGTCAAACCCTCGACCGAAAGCCACAAGTGCCTGTGCCTCCCTGGTCGACTAGCTTGAGGCA